GGCTGCCCACCCTCCTGGCTGCCCACCCTCATGGCTGCCCACCCTTCTGGCTGCCCACCCTCCTGGCTGCCCACCATCCTGGCTGCCCACCCTCCTGGCTGCCCACCCTTCTGGCTGCCCACCCTCTAGGCTGCCCACCCTCCTGGCTGCCCACCCTCCTGACTGCCCACCCTCCAGGCTGCCCACCCTCTTTGCTGCCCACCCTCCTGGCTGCCCACCCTTCTGGCTGCCCACCCTCCAGGCTGCCCACCCTTCTGGCTGCCCACCCTCCTGGCTGTCCACCTTTCTGGCTGCCCACCCTCCTGGCTGCCCACCCTCCAGGCTGCCCACCCTCCTGTCTGCCCACCCTCCAGGCTGCCCACCCTCCTGTCTGCTCATCCTCCAGGCTGCCCACCCTCCAGGCTGCCCACCCTCCAGGCTGCCCACCCTCCAGGCTGCCCACCCACCTGGCTGCCCACCCTCCTGGCTGCCCACCCTCCTGGCTGTCCACCCTCCTGGCTGCCCACCCTCCTGGCTGCCCACCCTCCAGGCTGCCCACTCTCCTGTCTGCCCACCCTCCTGGCTGCCCACCCTCCTGCTGCCCACCCTCCTGGCTGCCCACCCTCCAGGCTGCCCACCCTTCTGGCTGCCCACCCTCCAGGCTGCCCACCCTCCGGCTGCCCACCCACCTGGCTGCCCACCCTCCTGGCTGTCCACCCTCCTGGCTGCCCACCCTCCTGGCTGCCCACCCTCCAGGCTGCCCACTCTCCTGTCTGCCCACCCTCCTGGCTGCCCACCCTCCTGGCTGCCCACCCTCCTGGCTGCCCACCCTCCTGGCTGGCTGCCCACCCTCCTGGCTGCCCACCCTCCTGGCTGCCCACCCTCCTGGCTGCCCACCCTCCTGGCTGCCCACCCTCCTGGCTGCCCACCCTCCTGGCTGCCCACCCTCCTGGCTGCCCACCCTCCAGGCTGGCCACCCTCTTGGCTGCCCACCCTCCAGGCTGGCCACCCTCCAGGCTGCCCACCCTCCAGCTGGCCACCCTCCAGGCTGCCCACCCTCCTGGCTGTCCACCCTCCAGGCTGGCCACCCTTCAGGCTGCCCACCCTCCAGGCTGGCCACCCTCCAGGCTGCCCACCCTCCTGGCTGCCCACCCTCCAGGCTGGCCACCCTCCAGGCTGCCCACCCTCCAGGCTGGCCACCCTCCAGGCTGCCCACCCTCCTGGCTGCCCACCCTCCAGGCTGGCCACCCTCCTGGCTGCCCACCCTCCAGGCTGGCCACCCTCCTGGCTGCCCACCCTCCAGGCTGGCCACCCTCCTGGCTGCCCACCCTCCAGGCTGGCCACCCTCCCCTCTCCTCAGGGATGGTGTATGATAAGTCTAAAGGAGCAGGTCGTAGAGGCAAACTCCATTCATAATTGGAAAGTCTTTATGAGAGGGAAATAGGTGATGAGTCATTGCAGTAGACAACTGACAGTTAGAAAGGCGGGGATCAAGAACTAGATCTCGATCTTCCATGTACAGTTAGGAAAGTACACGTATACAGGTGATTTGGTTTCCAAGCATCAAAATGGATTCGTCAAATGAAAATCTTGCTTGACAGACTCATCAGAGTTCTGAGATAAGATGATAACAGTCGAGCAGGATAGGGCTGGGTCGACTGCATTTTCCTGGACTGCCAGAAAGCTTTTGACAATGTTCCTCGGAAGCGACTCGTGTGTTAACTGGTAAAACAGGCTGATGTATCGGTAAGAGTACTAAGGTGGGTAAAGGATTATTTTGCAGAACGAAGGCCGAGAGTCACAGTGAGAGGAGAGCTCTCAGTATGGAGAGAGAAGTAACGAGTGGAGCACCTCAGGGGTCGGTGCTGGGGCCGATCCTGTGCCTAATGGTCTAACACAGAATGTAAACTCATTCTAATCCATGTTGCTGACGATGGCTTGTCATTAGTGGCATTATTCCAACTATACCTGAAGAGCACTGTAGTATATCACAAGATAAACAAGACAATCTCCAGAGATGGTCTGAGAAATGACTACTAGACTTTAACCCTGACAAATGCAAGATTATGGAGATAGGACTTGGAGCCAGGAGACGTCATAGACGGTACAGGATGACGGGAAGGTAACTTCCACCTTGTGAAGGAGAGAGAGACTCAGGAGTGGACATGACTGGGGATCGAACACCAGAGCCACACACCACCAGGATAACGAGGGGCAGGACAGGACATACTGGCCCAGCCTCCGGTTATCCTACACTAACTTGGCCAAATATACAATATACATTCTTTATGAGACAATATGATGAGTATGCTGCCCCGGCATGGAACCCCCCTACATATAGAAACACAAATGTATATAAAATAAAGTCCAAAAATATGCACCGAGGCTCGTTCATGGGGTGACGGGACTGAGCTATGAAGAAATATTGAGGGAAGTGGTCTTCACTACACTGTAGGACAGAAAGAATGGGGCAGACATGATAACAACTTTAAAGATACTAAGGAGGAATTGAATAAATATATATATATATATATATATATATATATATATATATATATATATATATATATATATATATATATATATATTATATATATATATATATATATTTAGAAACAATGTTCAAATTAAGGAGCTGTAGAACGAGAGGACATAATTGGAAACACAGATGAGCCACAGAGATGTCAGAAAGAACTTTTTCAGTGAAAGAGTAGTTAACAGGTGGAACACATTAGGCAGTGATGTGGTGGAGGCTGACTCCATACACAGTTTCAAATGTAGATATGATAGAGCCCAGTAGGCTCAGAAACCTGTACACCAGTTGATTGACAATTGAGAAGCGGAACCATAGAGCAGAGCTCAACCCCCGCAAGCACAGGTAGGTGAGTACACACACACACACACACACACACACACACACACACACACACACACACACACACACACACACACACACACACACACACACACACACACACACACACACACATGAACAAGTAGCGAAGGTCACTTTACTGAGTGGCGGGAGTCCGGTAGCTAGTGTTTGTTCTCCCCCCTCCCTTCCTCTCCCTCTCCCTCTCCCTCCCTCTCCGTCTCCCTACCTCTCCCTCGCCGTCTCCCTGCCTCCCCCCCCTTTCTCTCTCTCTTTCTCTCTCTCTCTCACACACAAGGACCAGGCCTTCACTAGGGCTGACAGTGGGGGGTCAACATGTACCAGCAACAAGCGACCAACCTCAGCTCACCTGAAGTCTGCCCCTACACACACTCATTTATTTCATGACATTATTATATGAGTAATTAGGAATAAAGTTTATTAAAATCTAAGTAGCTCTTATATAAGGGACGGGATGAGCCAGTAGCCAACTGTGTGCCAGAGCCTTCAGGAGATCGCTTGACCTCATCTCTCGTGGATAAGGTCAAGCGATCAATGTATTCACCTGACAGGTGAATGTATTCACCTGTCAGGTGAATACAGTCCAGATGCGAGTCAGCCTGGGAATGAATAAGCGCTGATGGAGTGATGTTCTTGAGAAAGACAGTCCCCGCATTAGACTCTTAATGGCTGAGAGTCTAGTGTTACGGGTGCCAACTACTGGTTGTCCACGAAGTTGGGCCAGGTACGGAACTTTGAGAATGTTGCACTTAACAGTAAGTCTACCAACATCCCGACAGTGTCGCCAGCTCTGGTGTTCAGACCAGCATTACCAGACTACGTCAAGACCAGCGACGACCCTTCTCGCAAGGTGCTCCGCTTCCTCCGACAGTCTGATGACTACTGGAGGTCAGGCGAGCCAGATGAGGGGCGCTGCATACTCTAGATGGGAGCGACCTTGTGCTTCAGGTACAGTTGTGCAGCCCTCAAGGTGTGAGAGGCACCCTTGGGCTCTATGGTTATTGAAAAGTCAAACAAACAAAGCTCTAAGTTTTTGCCACTCATTAAAACTGCCCCAGTTAACAATATGCGGTCTACTATGCGGTCTACTATGCGGACTACTATGCGGTCTACTATGCGGTCTACTATGCGGTCTACTATGCGGACTACTATGTGGTCTACTATGCGGTCTACTATGCGGTCTACTCATGACAATCGCCTGCGTGTCCGGGCTGCAAATGTGACCTGCCATCACCTGCCCCAGCTAGAAATTGCCGAATTTTGTGATTAATGAACTTCTAGCAGATGGCTAAAAAGTTGGCTTCTTTTCCATGTACAGAGTTCAGAGGTCAGCATCGGCTTCAGCTTCCTGAATGAGGTGTAGCTGATCGTTGAAATACACGTTGCACCTCAGAGGGCCAAGCACACACCACCCCGGGTACCGTTGGTAACAATTGAGTGGCTATAGGTTCCGGCTCCATTGAGAACTGTACTCTTGAGTCCGTTCTTGAAGGTTGTCCTTTATTAGCTCTAAAGTGGAGTCTGAGATGCCTAGTGCTTGAAGCTTCGCTACTAATCCGGAGTGCCAGGAACCATCACTGAACCGGCTCAGTGGTGGTCGTGTCCTGGGTACACTCATGTGCTGACTTTATCTGGCCCCCCACAGCATTATCTGCCCCCCCCCCCCCAGCGTTATCTGGTCCCCCACAGCCTTATTTGGCCCCCACAGCCCTATCTGGCCCCCACAGTCTTATCTGGCCCCCCACAGCGTTATCTGTCCCCCACAGCCTTATCTGGCCCCCCACAGCCTTATCTGGCCCCTCACAGTCTTATCTGGTCCCCCACAGCCTTATTTGGCCCCCACAGCCCTATCTGGCCCCCACAGTCTTATCTGGCCCCCCACGGCCTTATCTGGCCCCTCACAGCCTTATCTGGCCCCCACAGCCTTATCTGTGTCCAGTGTATTAAGAAGATGAACGTCAGCCTGATGTACCACCACTTCAATCACCCTTGATGCGGTGCTTGGGACAAGACATGGAGGCTGTGGTTCACGGAGCCCGCGTCTTGACCGCGAAATGGTTTGGCAGAATGTCAGCCTTTTGCTGATTGCTGGTTGCAGCAGTTCCATGTTTAAGGTGGAATTGAGTTCTCAGATAAATTTCCCTGCCGATCGACGACGAGGACGACCCCCTGCCGATCGACGACGAGGACGACCCCCTGCCGATCGACGACGAGGACGACCCCCTGCCGATCGACGACGAGGACGACCCCCTGCCGATCGACGACGAGGACGACCCCCTGCCGATCGACGACGAGGACGACCCCCTGCCGATCGACGACGAGGACGACCCCCTGCCGATCGACGACGAGGACGACCTTGCCGATCGTCGACGAGGACGACCTTGCCGATCGTCGACGAGGACGACCCCTGCCGATCGTCGACGAGGACGACCCCTGCCGATCGACGACGAGGACGACCTTGCCGATCGTCGACGAGGACGACCCCTGCCGATCGTCGACGAGGACGACGAGGACGACGCTGCCGATCGTCGACGAGGACGACGAGGACGACGCTGCCGATCGTCGACGAGGACGACCCCTGCCGATCGTCGACGAGGACGACGCTGCCGATCGTCGACGAGGACGACCCCCTGCCGATCGTCGACGAGGACGACCCCTGCCGATCGTCGACGAGGACGACCCCTGCCGATCGTCGACGAGGACGACGCTGCCGATCGTCGACGAGGACGACGCTGCCGATCGTCGACGAGGACGACCCCTGCCGATCGTCGACGAGGACGACGCTGCCGATCGTCGACGAGGACGACCCCTGCCGATCGTCGACGAGGACGACCCCTGCCGATCGACGACGAGGACGACCCCTGCCGATCGTCGACGAGGACGACGCTGCCGATCGACGACGAGGACGACCCCTACCGATCGACGACGAGGACGACCCCTGCCGATCGTCGACGAGGACGACGCTGCCGATCGACGACGAGGACGACCCCTGCCGATCGTCGACGAGGACGACCCCTGCCGATCGTCGACGAGGACGACCAGACTTCGGATCCAACTCTTCCGGATGCAAGGGAACGGAAGGGGGGACTATCAGGGGGAAAGTACCAAGCCATTAAGACTTGGAAGGGGTCAGGATAATGATTTGGGATAAGACGGGGGGCGGGGGTTGAAGGAATGGTGCCCAACCTCTTGGAAGGTCGAGGATTGAACACCGACCTGCATGAAGCGAGACCGAAGGGCGTTTTTAATCCATTCCAAGGCTGATCAGAAGACTTGATCAGAACACTGCTGGTGTTCTTAGCATTCCAGTCAGGTGCTCCAAGCTCTGAGCGGCGGGTTGGCCACTATCCCAAAGCCAGGTAGTTGGGGTAGGTCCTTCGACTCGACCTGTCGGGGTCGCCGGTGTAGTCAAGGCTGCCCGGTGGTCCCAAACCCCCAGAGGTCGGCAGTGAACTACGCGTGCAGGAAGGTCGGTTGCGGCAGGCTGCAGGGAGGAGACTTATTTGTGGGCGGGAGAGTTCACATTTTCGTGGTTGAAGACTGT